CCCATTCCCCCCCCAACTGACCCCAGTGTGTAGCGCTCCCCTCCCTGTGTCCATGTGTTCTCATTGTTCAACACCCGCCTATGAGTGAGAACCGATTCCTCAAAGACCTAGAAATAAAAATTCCATTGGACCTAGCAATCCCATTACTGGGTATATATCCAAACGATTATAAATCGTTCTACTATAAGGACACGTACACACGAATGTTCATTGCAGCACTGTTTACAATAGCAAAGACCTGGAACCAACCCAAATGCCCATTGATGATAGATGGGACAGGGAAAATGTGGCACATATACAACATGGAATATTATGCAGCCATCAAAAACGATGAGTTCGTGTCCTTTGTAGGGACACGGGTGAACCTGGAAACCATCATTCTCAGCACACTGACACAAGAGCAGAAAAGCATGACTTTATTTTAAGATCCTTTTACTTTACTTGTTTCACCAGCTATTAAGCCGTCTTTCAATCCAGGAAAATAGCAGACATCGGTTTGCTTTCAGAGGCTAGGGTTGCCAAATATCTGATGCCCAGGTAAATTTGAATTTCAGATAAATGATAAATAAGTTTCATTTAAAGTATGTTTCAAGGATTGCAAGGCACTGCACCTTGAACTATCTTCCTTGCAATGTCAAATTTCGACTTGAGGGGACCTTTTATTTGAGGACAAATAGAAATCCTTGAACAAATGGATCACATGCCAACCCTAACAAAACCACTGGACTCTTACCTTTGAGTAGAGACCAAGACAAACCAGCATGCCTAACCCTCAGTCTGGTTAATTAAGCAGGTTCAAGCCTTCTCAGAGGGCCCTGGGTATTGCCTCAAAGGGACTTGCAAATATGAAAAGAAGGTGATTCAAGACCCTAATCAGAAGCTTCTGCCAGGATGAGACCCTGGCAGCAGCCTTACCTGCTGAAACTCTGAAGGGCAGGGTGTGAGCCCACTGTGGGAATGCTCCCTCCCAAGGGCCCTGGCCAGCAGGCTTCAGGGTCAGCTTCCCTCACATCTGCACTCCCTCTGCTGCAGGCCTCAGCTCTCCTTGCCCCTGGCTCTCTTCTGCAGTGGTCCTGCTCTCAGCTGCCACAGGAGGGCGCGGGAGAACGGGCCTGAGCTGCAGGGCAGGAGCTCCTCTACAGGTCCTCCCAGGCACCACCCCTTCTGGGAGGAAGGTTTGGGAGTCCCCTAAGACAGATCATTAGTCAGTTCTCTCTACCTGTGACTCAGGAAAACCAGCTCCCCGACTGCCTTCTGCACTAGGGATCTCAGTTTTCACTTCCTTGTTGAGTGGGACCTGAGTTTTGAGAAGGTCTTGTGCGCCTCTGCATCTGGTCCCTTTCCTTCCAAGGCCCCAGAGAGGAAGGCATGGGGTGGGCCCTAGCCCTGCTTCTAGCTTTCCTGCCTCCTGGTGCGTGTGCTGCCTATGGAGAGGCGCACAGGTTTTGTTTTGTTTTCTTCTTTAGCAAGGGGTGTGATACTAAGGAATGCCTCATCATGTTTTGTGTTGTGCCAATCCGATATCTTCCAACTTGGAAGGGAGAATGAAGTCAGTCACTGGGACAATGGGGTCATCTGCTGTTGTGATCTTCCTGGAGAAATACCAGACACATCCACTGGTACCTCCACCAGGAGGGGAAGGCCCCACAGCGTCTTCTGTACTGTGACACCTACGACGCCAGGGTTATGTTGGATTCAGGAATCAGTCCAGGAAAGATGGATAGCTATGCAATCATGAGGAGCTCGAAATTGATAGTGCAAAATATAATTGAAAATGATTCTGGGGTCTATTACTGTGCCACCTGGGACAGGCACAGTGGTTCAGACCTGCCCTACACCACACTGAAATCTGCCTTGTGGCTGCTTCTGCTACACAAGACAGAGCTGCCCCCTCTCATTTCCTGCCACCAAATTTACTGTATTCTGTACAAAGAGAAACAGCTTCACTCCCGATCTCCCCCTAATATCACACTCCCCTGGCACAGCTGCACCTGTTCCCCACCCCTCCCCCAGGACTTTCCTGAAGACCAAGCTGCC